TATCGCGCCGCGTAAACATAAAACCATGTCTGCATTTGTGATCGGAGAAACGACAAACAACAAGCGCTACTCTACACTGCTCAAATTTCGCGTTTGAATCGTCAGTGGCAAATTCTTTAAATATGAAAACTTACTTACAGGCTGTGAGTCAGCATTATTTGTCAGAACACCAGCATTATTGGCTACTCTCCCAGGAAACAGTCCTCCTCCTCCTGCGTTGCTCACATCTGAATATTTGGGTTGAACTGTTCTGGAACAGTGTTGTAAATACAATTTAACCACTGATTTCTAGTTGTGTCCTCTTTTGGAAGGCCAAACAAAGTAGTTTCGCTTTCATAACGAAACACACAGCGTCTCCACGACATGGCGGCGGCAGCAACAATACTACAGCGAGAATCAAAGTTACGCCTTCTTTCTATGCATATACATTTGGGCGGTCACGTGTTATGCAAATCTTCCCACACAGTGACGTAGACATGTGGGGGCGTGTTTAAACGAGGCGTTTTAGGAGGGAGTGGACGAGTCTTAACTTTTATAAAGAATATCTCTTTGCAACTTTAGGGATCTTATCTATTCACAAACAGCTTGTAACACTCCAAAGAGAAAGGAAAACTTGAAATCGCATCACATGACCCCTTTAACAACTGGAACTTGCTAGTTCAAAGATCATTAAACAGCAAGCACAACATATGCAAAAATGGCAGCCCGAATTCACTTGTTTTCATTCACTCCTTCACGTGGACTATATTAGTGGACTGACTCGGGGATCAGTGAATAAGAGAACAGGGGGGAATTCCAGACACAGCAACTGTCTACAGTGGATGCGTCAAAGTGAACATTTCAAATCCATTTGTCCTGTTGTCGGAAGTAGCAGAATCACACATGGTACATTGTAAATGGAATGAGTGGAATCACTTTTGCAAAAATAAATAAATAAATAAGGTTGTCAATAGTGTAGTGATGTCTAAAGCTCACAGAGAAGTCACTTTCAAACCAGTAAGCTTTTTGTTGGTCAACACAGCGAATTCATGTGACACCATGACCAAGTTGAACACAATATGAAATCTGTATGGGGAAATCCTTTGCCTGCATGCATTTTTATTTGCTTTTAACATAACGCAATGCTCACGTCATGTTTAGATAGGTGAGAGGATAAATTGAATTTGAGATGAATTTAGGTTTAAGGGCAAAAATTGAGGACTTCACGAATTACCGGTTGGGGAACCATACTGCGTTATACTAATAAACTGCATTGTAATTTTAATAAATAAAATGCATGGTATCACTTTAATATGTCTTTATCATATTAAATGTATCATCATATTCAGATATCTCTTTCTATGAGATATCCACTGTGCATTTTAAGCAACATGTAAATAAATTGTTTTAAGACCAGTGAAAGACAAAAATGTAATGTCTTTTCAATTCAACAACTAATAAGCTAATAAAGATTCCTGTCAGAAAGGAAACATATATAAATTGAGTGTCAGCCCTCTCATTTCTCTATTCTCTTGTCGGTAAATTCTCTTGACCCCTCTCTCCAAGGTTTAGGTATATGTAAGGTGGGAGCAGTTGGATCTGGATCCAACCTCGCCCCCTGGATCTTGTGTTCTGCAGTGAGGACCATCTCCCTCTCTCTCTTCCTCTTTTTCATGCTCCCTCCCTCTCACCCCTGCTGCCTTGCCTCCTCTCTCTAAGAGAGTTTGGTCAATAATTGATGAATCTTGCTTACTGAAAGGGTAACAGGTCTATAGCAATAGTCCATTGCCCATTCAAGTATCAGTTTTTTTAGAGTGGCTGCATAAACGCTACACAAATGCTTTTAAACGATTTCAGCGAGTGAATATTCACCATTGTATCTATGCAAAGGCTATTAGGTGGTCTGTATATGTGCAGTAGTTCACCGACCTCTGATTTCAGTGGCAGCAGATGGGCATGCAAGAGTTACTTCTGTCAGTCAACAGGCAGCAGGAGACAAGGAAGGATGTAGGGAGAGATTAAATGAGAAAGTGGCAGGGGGCAGGGAGAAAAGAGAGAGAGCGATACACACACACAGAGAGACAGAGAGAAGCAGTTAATTCACCATCAGGAGTGATGGCCTGCATGCCCGGTTAGCATATTTCTGTGGCTGTCTGTAATAAACACTTATCATGGAGGGGAGAAACGAGAAGTTGTTCTCCAGGAAAAGAAGTTTCACATTCGGAGCTTACGGAGGGTGAGTGGATATGACAAGTAACATTAAGCTGTGTAATTTGAACACAATGCTGTCTGAATTAAGGATTTCTTGTCATGTGGCATCTTTATGCTGTACGTAGGATTGACAAGTTCATCACTGGAAATGAGAGCAGGTCAGCAACAGTTTGGGTTTGTCGCTGTGCTCAGGTGTTTGAACTCAGTTATCGCATGCAGACTTTTCCTGAACGCTTGTCTCTGTATTTTACAGCTGTGCAGAATCTGTGTGTCACAGCATATTGGACATTTTGGATTCCCCATCCAGTGATGCTAAGCCACTCACTTCTGCACCGTCCAGTCAGAAGGTAAGAAATCTCCTGGTTTAGATGTTCTAAAGATGTTGAAAATCCCACTATGGATACAGCAAATGATGTGCTCTCCAGATTTTCATATCTGAATCATGGAAACATTGAAGAGAAACTGGACAATTCACATTCTTCATCAATATTGTGATTATACCTTGTAGGGTGCATTATGTGAAACTTTCACTGTTTCATGTCATTCACTCGTCATTTCTCTGCAGGTCACAGAGTTGTTTGCAATCATTGAAAAGCTACAGGTAACGTTGTCATCTTTCTTTCTCTCTCCACATTCTTTGCCAGTGTAAATAACACAGTGTAAAAACAGTACTAATGTCTTATTCTGTTGCAGAGATGATGATGATTTTTCTGTGGTTGTGTTTGTCTGCAGGGTAGCAGATTGGATGAACAGCGTTGTGAGTTCCCACCACCACTGAGGGTAGGGATTTTAGCTGAAAAATATAAATTATTAGTGGTTAACTGAAACTATTTATTTACAGGAAACTATTTTAGCAAATCATAAGTGGTGTTATTTCAACTTTAAGCACTTTTATTTTTTATATTACCTTTTTTTTTTAGTATACGAAGGTCATGGTTTTCATTTTGATGTATATATTTTACTCTTTTAACCACTTTATTACAATACATACTGTATATAGTTTCAAGTTCCCACTTACACAATTACTATTGATCACTCAGACACGGCTGTTAAAGATTGGAGATGGCTTACCTCTCATCCTGCCCCCTAAATCTGGAGGTTATTGGATCGACCCTCCCCTGGATAGACATGTGGAGACCAGCCCTACTCTCTCACAGGGGGGGTTTGGTCTGGAGAGCTACGACATCATGGAGAGAGACAGCGAAGCTAAAGTCTATCAAGAATTCTTCCGCCACAGAGTCAGTGATCATTTTTTCTTTTTTCTTTTTCATTTGAAAAACTTCAAACCCTTATAACTCTGTGGAATAACTCACACACTCATGATTTTCTTTCATGTTTGCTGCAGTATCATCATTCGTTCACTGCCTGTGACCCCTCTCTTGGGCCCCTAGTTTTGTCTGTTTGTCTTGAGGAAGAGGAAAATCGCCTGAGAGTCATTTTGAGGTATGTATTTTGTGACCATCTTAAATGTTGTTCATTATAATGATGTGTCGTAGTCACTGACTGTACAAGATCATTATGATCAGTTTTCTTTTTCATTTAATCAGGATGAAGGAGTGCTCAATTCATGGCACATTCTCTGTTTCTCTCTTTCATCAATTCCCCACGGCAGTGGAGCTGGCAAAGGTATTTCACAACCACACAGCCGGTTTTATTTGATTCAATTTAAATGAAAGTGAATAGAAGTTTCATTTGTTTTGATTTGTTTAATTTAAGATGCTGTGCTCAAGTGTCAGCGTCACAGGTTTTGAGGCTGTTACTTACTTAAAGGTATACATCTTCACTTGTCCAATTTGTTTACTATGATCTGTTGGAAGAGCTAATACAAGACTCCATTCTGATTTTATAAACTGACCAATTCCATAAAGTAAAATCTTTTCTGACACAGTTAATACAAACATCATTTATCTTTTCTTTTTCTGCATCAAAAGGCCCCAGAGATCATAATGGCATTTGATGAACACAGAGTGTCTCCAAACTTTAAATTTGGTGTCTTATACCAGAGAGAAGGACAGGTATGCAGATACTAAGATACTATTCTTCTCTTCCTTTAATATATTCACCTGTTTTTATCAAACTTTGTGTTAGTCTGACTTTGACTTTAGGCTGTAATAAATAACCTAAATGGATATTTGTAATTTTGTATTACTCTTACATTATTTTGTATTTTGTTCCAATGTATGTGATGTAGTTAACAGAGGAAGATATTCTCAGTAACAATGAGGAAAGTGAGGAGTTTTTGGAGTTTTTATCAATACTCGGGCAAACGGTCAAACTGCAAGGATTTACTGGGTAAGTGGGTTAGGACTCACTCCTATTCATATTGACTGGTATCAGTATCAATATCAATATCAACATCAATAACAAAAAACAACTTGGAAATGTATTGTCACCTGTCAAAAGGACATCCTAATTTTTCATCTCTTAGTTTCAGGGGAGGTCTGGATGTGTCTCATGGCCAGACAGGAAATGAAGCAGTTTTCACCTCCTTCCATGGACTTGAGATTATGTTCCATGTTGCCACTAAACTACCGTTCACAGAAGCAGATACACAACAGGTGAAATTTGATGAATATTTCTTTTTTGAATGTAAATAGTCATTTAACATCTTTTACCAAATTACTGTACCATAATGCATATTATTATGTATGCTGATATATTCTGACCAGCACCAATAAGTAACTTTTATTTTAGAAACTATATTGATAGTTAGGCCTACTTTGTGTATTTTTGCATCGCCAGTGGCAATATTTCCAAATGAAGTCCAATACGCGCTCCAGCAACAAACTGGTGATTATTTGTTGCTGATTAAATCATTGTGGTTGAACGAATCTGTTGAGTATGGCGATTAAACGGTTTCAAAAGTAGCTCACTTAAAAACCGCCCTTGTGATGGAGCATTTCTGCCCTGCGAGTGCACAGAACATTGTCTGTGAGCTAAAATGTGCTCTTGCGAGAACGGCACTGAGGAGTGCTCACTTGACCCCCTCTGCGCCCTCTCAACTGCTCAACCCCTGCTCGCTCATCAAATTGAAAAGTTTACACATTTAAAAAGTTTACACATAATGTAACGATATATTATCTTCTATAAAGCAAAACACGTTTTTATGACATATGTCATTATTACGAGAAAATGTTGTTTAAATAACATTACATTACAACATATATTTTTACAACATAACTGAGTGGAAAAAAATATATGAATGTGGCAGCAATGCCTCACCGTAAATTATGTTTTATTAACTAAGTTCAGGAGGAGCACGATCAGATAATTAACCTAATTAACGTGAGAGGAGCTTATTCAGTAATCAACCCAATTAGCAAGATAAGAGGTACAGTATATATACACAGCAGACTTACCTTTGTTCCTTGACAGCTTTCTACCATCCCTCCACCACCTCATCTCCTCACTTCTAACTTCCTCTCTCAACCAGGGGGGTACTCTGGGTTCAGGCCAAATTCCGAGCTCGGAGCCCTCCCCTCGGACAGCACACCAAATACGCATAACCTTTACTCTATTTATTATATGTAGTGTGAACTCGTGAAAACCCCATATAGAGAACAAAAACATGACAAACTCAAGCCCTAAAAAGTGAGCACACGCTTTGGACATGCAATTTTGAGAGCACTAAGGAAATATCACATTCTTTTTGCCTGTTTGGACACTTCAAGACGTTTGCCTTTGATGTTTGATTTACCTGTTTACACGGTCAGAACCGTGTGTTTTCGGTGACTCAAAACCGCGCGTTTTATAGCAAATCACACATCGGGGACATGCGTTTTCATACAAAAAAATGCATGTTTCCGATGCATGTTTTCCATGACCCCAAAGCGCACGTTAAGAACACGTGTTTTTATGGCAAATCACACGCTTTTGACGGGTCAGTGTGCAATCAGACGCCTGGCCTGACCAGGCGTACATGAATACTTTGGCTTGCCATACTTTTAAGACTTTGGAGGCGGGGATCAAGTGTCAGATGTGTCCGCTCCTGTGATTGATCACTGTCAACACTGCTTGTTAAGTCATGACCTTAGGAATATATTTTTTATTACTATTATTACATAAATAATCAGGTACAAACAACATGGCAACACCAATACATCTTTGCTATAGAATATAAGGAACAGTTATGAAACATGAAATAGTCTAGAGCCATTGAGAGAGAGAAGAGTCGTGTCATCTCCATTCACTCCAATGGACCAGTTCATGGAGCCTCTCAATAGTTCACGGAAGTTAGCACCAAATACTATCTGCGGCGTAGAGGTGCAGCAGAAGAGATTGCTGTGATGAACTTTTAAAAGGTAAGACATTTATAGAATACAATTGTATATTATCAGCACAGCTAATCAAATTATCTTGTGCATTAAAACATGCTAGTTGATTAGTAGACTAGTAGATTAGATAGATAGATAAATTAGTAGATTTAGGGGACATTATTCATTCTCTTCATGCAGTTTCATCCATCGTTGTGTAATTAAGGCTTTTAAACATGATTTTTGCAGGGTGGGGAGTTAAATGTTAGAATTGGATTGATTGCAAAGGATGCTGATGGACCTAAGTGTGAATGAAAAAAGCTGAAAATAGGGGAGCAGTTTTCATTTCAGGATCATACTAGGCTAAATTAACAAAAATGTGCCATATACCACTACTGTATTATAGAAGTAATCACAGTAAACCTGTACATTATTACTGTATTTTATACTTAAACATCTTAGCTACTGTAGAAGCACTTTGTGGTTGGAGGAGCAGTGATGCCACAGGACTGATATGTGATAGATAATCACTTAATCATTTCTCCTGTGTTTTCTCCTCTATCTTGCTTTCAGTACAAGAACCACCTGAAGACACCCTTTAATGAGACATCACCCTCACAATGAGTCTCATCTCACTAGGTTTTGTAAGTCTTTCCCTGTTCTTTGTATCTTTGTGAAAAAGTGCAAATTCCCAAGTATGATTACATCACATTTTGTATTTGTAACCTATAGCTATATTTAAATAGCTCCTGCTGACTATATCCAGCCACTTACGAAGACTTCTGATGACCCAACACCTGTGAACAGATGACCTGATTTCAGATGATGCCAACTCTGAATAAACATACAAAACTGCCCAATTTTCTGTAAAGCTGCTTTGAAACAATGTGTATAATAAAAAGTGCTATACAAATAACTTGATGCATAATTTTTTTCCTCCTTGCTGCATCAGTAGGGAAACCATACATTCATACTTCTTTCTGTGAGTGACTGGAGCATTCCCATGCAGCACAGCAAATCATGGTGGAGACTACAATAACAACATGCTTTTCAGTTGATTATACAACAACTGAATGAATCCATTGCTGTAAATAAGTGCATAACAGAAGTCAACATACATAAAATATATGATTAAATGTGTAAAAACAATGTTTTAAGTTGTTTTAAATTTGAATATACTATGAATACATTTATATATTAATAATTGAGGGGTGCACAAGAATCGAAAACATTAAACAAGATTAATTTTCACTTAATCTTAAAATTCGCTTATTTGGAATGAATTTTATAAGACAACACACTAAACATTGTGTCATTTTAGTGACACTACAATGAACATTAAGACGTTTAAGTTTAAGAACATAAAAAATATATTTCAAAACAACAGCAAACAGTCTTTAACCAAGGTAACTTTAGCTTAAACTATGTTAACAAGGCAGGTAACCAATAGGGCTGTGTTCGATACGACGATGTATCGTCACAGGTATTTGACGATATGGGTATCAATACAGCTGTTTCAGTATCGATATCGCAGCACGTGTAAGAAAATCTCTGGTAAGACATCCAAAGAAGAAGAAGAAGATTCACAGAAGGTAACTGGAATACATTGAGTTAGACAGAACTGCGATTTTTGGTAATTAGTAGACAATAAATGCATTTATTTACAATATTTATAAAAATGGACATGCATATGTAGTATGTAGTTATATCAATGTTGTTTTTAAAAGATAAAATCTGCTAATATTTGAGGATTAATGTGGTAAACTATGATTACTAGGGCTGTGTATTGCCAACAAAGTCACGATACTACGTATCCCGATACAGAGGCCACGATACGATACATATCACGATACGAGAATGCACTAATTTTCACCTCAGCAGAATTTAGTAAAACAGCTGTTTATTAAACACTGCATACTATAGGGCCATTGCTAACTATAGGCAGAGCAGACGACCTCTGCATTATGAACGACCTCTATAACTGTACCACAGTATAACAATATAGGTAATGGCATGAAATTACGGTATTTAACTGTAAATTTAAGTTAAAACCGTAAAACCTAAAACGTTGCTACCGTATTTTTTACGGTAAAATTCCGGCAACCACAGCTGCCGTTTTTTTACCGTAAATTTTACGGATTTTTTTTTACAGTGTAGGTTTCATGTTAACATTGGGCACTTCACCACCAGGTACAATATTCTGATTGTTTGCATCTTGCTTTTATAAGCCCATAAATAATAATATACTCGTTAATATTGTAATGTACTCATTCTATTATACTAATAAAATCACCTTACATTGCTGATAGGTTATCATTGCACAAATTAACACTCTTATATAACACTGTTCTAGTGGTTTTTGGATATTTTAATAAAAAAATCTGACATATTGTGCCTTTAACTAATGCGCTGTCTTCACTGTAGCTCACGCGCACACATTCAGTCTCTTACTCAGTGCTGCCCCGCAATTTCATCAATAAAAGAGCTTCACCGCTGAAGAGCTACATTATCTTTCTCAGCAAAGAGTTGGTAACATCGTTTCTGTAGCAATTAAAGGCACCGCTTCACTGTTAATAGAGAAACTCGGCAATTCTTTAATACACCGTCTCTCTTTCTCTCTTAAATAAACACTTGATGAATTACACTTTTCTGAGAATAGAATATCGAAGTGGAGATCGCTAAACTGCAAGCTTACCGGTGTTTTCAGAAAGCCAACGCTTTTATCCACAGTGGAGAGCGCGTGCACAATGGTTGCCAGGTTGGCAAAAATAAGTAACACTTATCAGATAATTCCGTATTGCGCAAGTGTGAAGCTCTGTGTCGGGGATTACGTCTCTTTAATATCAGGCAACCTTATCACTCTGATTTCAGTGACTCTTTCTGCAGGTTATATTGATACACCAGTAGGTGACTGTCTTTTTGAGTGAATTAATTATCTAACTTAAAGGGTTAGTTCACCCAAAAATTTAAATTAGCCTGTGTTTTACTCACCCTCAAAGCATCCTAGGTGTATGTGACTTTCTTCTTTCAGACGAATCCAATCGTAGTTATATTAAAAATTCTCCTGGTCCCTCCAAGCCTTTCACTGTGGGTAAGCGGGTGTTGTTGTCAACAGTTCAAAAGACGTTAAATAAATGCGTGCATCCATAATAAAACGTCCCTCACACGGCTCCGGGGGGTGAATAAAGGCCTCCTGTAGCGAATCCATGCATTTTTGTAAGATAAATATCCATATTTCAAACGTAATAAACACTTTTCTCTCACTTCCACTGACTGTGGTATGCGGAAGACATTCAGGCGGATGACGTAAGATGTAGGCGTCGTGCGTGCGCCTCTGAGAAATGCAGGAGCAAAGTAAACAAAGTTTCCTTACTTTAGCAAAGGAAACAAAGTTTCCTTACTTTAGCAAAGGAAAACTAGTCTCCTCTTGGCTTATATCGAAATCATCCGACATTTTTCTTTACAAATCCTCGTTTTGTGCTTCTAATTTGTGAACGGCGTTTTGTTTTGTCTCTGCGTTCGTCACTAATCACGCAACGCTGACGTCCTACGTCATCCGCCGGAACGGCTTCCGCGTATGACAGTTAGCGGAAGTAAGAGAAAAGTGTTTATTACGTTTGAAATATGGATATTTATCTTACAAAAATGCATGGATTCGCTACAGGAGGCCTTTATTCACCCCCCGGAGCCGTGTGAGGGACGTTTTATTATGGATGCACGCACTTTATTTCACGTCTTATGAACTGTTGACAACCAACACCTGCTTACCCCCATTGAAAGGCTTGGAGGGTCCAGGACAATTTTTAATATAACTCCGATTGGATTCATCTGAAAGAAGAAAGTCACATACACCTAGGATGCTTTGAGGGTAAGTAAAACACAGGCTAATTTTCATTTTTGGGTGAACTAACCCTTTAAGTGATATGTTCAGACTCATTAATTCATTCAGAAATAAAGCAAGTGTATGGCGATTAAACAGTTTCATAAGTAGCACACTTAAACACCGCCCTTGCGAGGGAACATTTCTGCACTGCAAGAGCACAGGACATTGTTTGCGCGCAAAAATGTCCTTCATAACAACAAACTTATACCAGCTTCTTTTTCCTTAAATTACAACTCTACTCATCTCTTTTTTTCCCCTCAGTTGCAGAGAAAGAGACACATTGGGAATGACATCGTTGCCCTGGTTTATCAGGAAGGTAATACTCCCTTCATTTCGGATGTGATCAGATCCCACTTCTTGCACTGTTTCATTGCAGTGAGAAGGATAAAGAGAAAGAATGAGGGAGAGGGAGGAGATGGAGGATCATTTCAGGTAAAAAAAAAAAAACTTGCTACATTTCGCTTTATCAGCACACAGCTCCAAAGCCTCTTGTTTGATTGACAGGTATCTGTCACCGCTAGGGAGGATGTACCCCCATTTGGCCCACCCCTTCCTACACCTCCCATTTTTACAGAGGTGAGATCAAACGACTTAATTCAGAAGTTTCAGCAAGGGAGCTCTCAACTTTCTTACATCAGTCCAGTAGGTCTTACATCAGTAATACCTACTCAATTTCCTTTACAAGTATGTGTAAGCACTTTACAGGTGAAGGTTTATAAAATAAAACGTGCAAGTCACCCTCTGAATCACACTCTGAATTATGCTCTGAATTTCCACTTCCAGGGCTCAGTTTTAAAAGAGTTCCTCCTGACCAAACTTATAAATGCTGAAATCTCTTGTTACAAGGCTGAGAAATTCAGTCGACTGGAGGTAACCAGACACAAAGCATGTTAACTAATCATTTATTTATGTCACAGCCTCAATTTAAAACATGTGCTTCTCTTCTCTCCTTTTATGATCTCAGTTACGTACACGTTTGTCTCTTTTGGAAGCACTGCGATCTGAACTGTCTTCCCGATCCCAATGCATGTTGGGAGAGCAGTCACAGCCCAGCATCCCCCTCACTGAAGGGGGGAGGAGTGTTCCAGAGGGTGGTGGAGGATTCATTGAGAACTTTAAGGTAGATAATCTCAAACCTCAGTGAGAATAGACAATATGCCTTGCTATTGTTACTGGATTGTGCTTATTACTGTTTGACATTAAAACGAGCTTCAAATCAGTCACTTTATGTGACTCTCTCCATCTTAAGAGAGCTATTAGGGTGAGAAGCCACTCATTCGATACCTTGGGAGTACCAAAGAAGATAGGCAGTGTAGCAGGGCATCGACCAAAGGTCAGCAAATACCAGTAACACATCAATGTTCTCTTAATACATGTAACAATATATTTTTGCGGTAATGCTAAAGGATGGCCATCTGTTTTTTCTTCACTGCTAAAACACTGGAAAAGGATGGTGAGAGGTGAGAACAAATACATAAAATATTGTACAGGTATCTTAAGTGCAATGCAACTTACAGTGGCTCACAGTAGTTGTCTATAGTTCATAGTAATATTTTGTCTCACTCATAGCGAGCAGACAAGCAACGTGGGCTACACTGAGACAAGAGGTCAAACCAGTCCCCAGGATGACTTGTAGATGAATATCACCATTTCTGAGTCATAAGCACAAATAAGCCTTCCACAGACTTCAAGATCCATTGAAGAGTGCAATGAACAATAAATAATTTTACTAAAACGTTGTGCAAGTTGTTACTAGCTGCAAGTGCAGTCAGAAAGATATGAATATATATGATTTCAGATACTGTATATTATCATTTGAATGTCTTCTTTGAAGTGGCATAGTCGAATGATTCAATGGCTGCTTATAGCGGACATATCCCAGTGAACGTGGGTTTCATTTCTGGAATTGAACTTTTTTTTTTTTTGCAATTTATCAAGTAAACTGTGATTAAATATGTGTATTTCAAATATAATTCACTTTAATTCACAATGGGAAAAAAATTAAAATTCTGTATTGCTCAATTTAGACTCTTCTATTTTTAATGCACTTACAAGGTCCCTGCCTGTTATGTTGTTTTAAACTACAAACTGAAATCGCATACATTCACAGGAATTATTAGGAGTTGGAACTTTAATTTACCATATCCTACACAGGAATACACTTCACACAATGTAACTCAAAGTCACAAAGTAACACCTATCAAATGTTTTGCAACAAAACCCTTAGTCTAGTTTGGGTCCATTATAGATTTGTGGTCTCAAAGATAATGCAGTCAATTTGCTTAAGTGATACCTCACTATAGTCCATGAAATAAAGTTAATGCAACATTGCATTTAAACATTTATGGATAATTAGTTTAAAACATTGAATGAACCTACTTCTAACGGTTCATATAAACACGTAACAGTTTGACTCAAATGACGAGAAGATAATTTGAAAGAAACCATTTTTATTGAAAACTTGCGCAGAGAAAAAGCAAGCACTGCCGAGTCCCTCCACCCCCCTGAGAGGAATGAGTTTAATCCTCCTCTTCATCATCACCGCCTCCACCACCACCCTGGGCCTTCTTGGCATTCTTTCTCTTTACACGGCCAGGGCGGCCACCACCATACGGAGAGCGGAGAGAGAAGTCGATGTGCTTCTGGCTGTCCAGCCTCACCACAAAGGAGGGGATGTTCACAACCTGCTTACGCACCCTGCAGAACATCAGAAAAATAATTCGGCAAATGTGCAAAGGCTACTCAAGGCTTCAGAACTGATGTTGCTGATCTCGAGGCCTCATTGACGAGGAATTCTTGACACCACTGACAATCTGACAGTGTTGAGTTTAATCACTGGCCAAGAGAAGTGTAGTTTTGTTTCAGTACAAAATCTGCCAAAGTGCCCACATACATTACCTGGTAGACCGTTTTGTGCAATAAAGCACCCCAGACGTCATGGGAAGCTGTAGTTTATGGGCTTATTTTTTTACAAGCAAAGGTATACGGTTTAATCACCGAATTGACCTTGCAGAATATTTCATTCCCACTCACCGGGAGGAGTTTAAACATGGTCAGCTAATGAAAGAGGAAGAAAACCTCAATACACATGTTCAGACAACCAGGATGGTAACCATTATACACACCCACACGTACAGGAAAATGCAGTTTACATGATTAAAAGTCCTGAACTATAAAGGTTCTACACATCTTGCATAATTCAGCATCTTACCGGATGTGCCTCTGACGGATGAGCACACGAGCATGGTGGATGCTTTTGGCCAGGCCAAGCTTGAAGACCTGAGTCTGCAGCCTCCTCTCCAAGAAGTCCTCCACTTTCAAGCCCAGAATGTAATCGAGCTTCATCTTGCCCTCATCCAGCACACCAATGCGCACCAGACGCCTGAGCAAAGCGTTACCTAGAAGTAAAAGTTGAACTGTTAGTGGGGAAAAGTAGTGATAGATGCAAAGCAGACATCAAATTACTATTAGCGGTTATATGGCCTCATTGACGAGGAATTCTTGGTAACACTGACAATCTGACTTGTACGATTTTAAATCACTGGCCATTAAGTTTTAGACAAATCAACTAGTTTACCCTCAAAGAGACGCTTAGGATCCTTCTCATCCAGAGTGAGAAGCTCTCTGGCAGCCTTGCGGATTTTGGCCAGAGTGAACTTCACCCGCCAGACTTCTCTCTTATTCCTGAGGCCATACTCGCCTGTGGAGAAAAATAAATCACATTTCATTACACCAAATACACAAAATAATGTTCTTTTTAGCAGCATCATATGACCCCTTTAAAAAAAAAAAAAAAAGTCAATTATTTTTCTGCAATAAATTTTTTTTCCTTACCAATGAGTTTCAACTCCTGGTCGAGTCGTGACTTCTCAAAGGGACGTCTGGGAGTGACGTATGTCTTACTACAAACCCAACTCCTGGCAACCGGCATGGCGACTTATTGACGCCTGTGAATAAATAAATTATAGTTATTTTTTAATTTAAGTTTTAACACTCAGCCAGCTCATAGTACTCGTATCTCGTGTTGGTAATTACAATACGCTTTATGACAACATATTTTATTACGGGACCAAATTCCAATCATACAATTGAAATTCCAAGTAAAATAAACCTTTAAAACATAAACAGTTCAAGGTAGAGATTCAATTTAATATGAAAAAGAGCACAAGGTATCACTTCATGGTTAGGCCTGAACGCGCCTTGTGGAAACACGTTGCTCTACCGCTCATATCTCCACATAATATAACCTGCTAACGAGATACTGCACGTATAAACCAGCCCCTTACTATATAACATCTTCCATAATGTTGAAGTGAACATGTTAAACTTGCAAACTGTGAGAAATTAGGCCAGACATACGGAAGTCCGAGCCGCTATTACCTAGCTGTATCAGGCTCGCAAAGGAAAGAGAACGTGCGTTTGGTCTTCCCGGATATTTATATATGCCTTTTAAACTACATTACCCACAAAGCTTTGCGAGAACGGCTAGAAGTGTCTTCCGTTAACATCACGATTTATGAATTCTTTGCTTCCCCCTGCTGGTTAAAATATGAATTTCTATCAAAAAAAAAAAATACAAGGAGAATTTTGATGTACAGTACATTCACAAAGGAAATGTAAAAAAAATTTGCTATAATGAACTGGGCAAACAGAAGATAATTACAACTGAAGAATTGCCAGACATACGGAAGTCCGAGCCGCTATTACCTAGCTGTATCAGGCTCGCAAAGGAAAGAGAACGTGCGTTTGGTCTTCCCGGATATTTATATATGCCTTTTAAACTACATTACCCACAAAGCTTTGCGAGAACGGCTAGAAGTGTCTTCCGTTAACATCACGATTTATGAATTCTTTGCTTCCCCCTGCTGGTTAAAATATGAATTTCTATCAAAAAAAAAAAATACATGGAGAATTTTGATGTACAGTACATTCACAAAGGAAATGTAAAAAAAAATTTGCTATAATGAACTGGGCAAACAGAAGATAATTACAACTGAAGAATGTGTACTTGCAGCCTTCAGTGGAATCGGAAATATCATATTTACGAGTTCCGTGCACATGAATGACCAAAACGAGGTCGTATTTACAAGTGAGAAACTTGTCTGCTGTGTTGCTGAACTGTTGTGACAATGTCATGAATGATTTTAAGTATCTGTGTTGCATTTCTGTTATAATTAGGCGCTATATAGGCCTACGAAAGAGCTTCTACAGAACAAATCTAAAGTCACTCACCTTTCACGTTTCGCTTTATGCAAAATAAATGTTTTTGTTAGATTTCTCATGAGTTTTTTCTTCTCACAATACTGTAAAAATGTAAATGCCCGAATCTTTCTTTCTTTCTTTCTTTCTGTCTTTCTTTCTTTCTTTCTTTCTTTGTTGCTTCCTTGAGATAGGGTTATATGTGTGCAAGGCAACATGCTCTTTTATTACACTTTCATAGGTATTTTACGTTTTTTTTTTTTTTTCTAGACATGGCATTAAGTCATCCTAACCGAGTGCATCAGATTTTCAAAACAAAAAGTGACTGATGTCTGTGGTTTTACATTTTGGCCTTTTTAATGTAGCGTTTGCTTTTGTCTGTTTCAGTAGACACCAAATGACAAACATCTATGTCATTAAATTTGGACTAAATTGTGTATTACTGCATGACTAGCACAACTAAGAGGAAGGGGGACTATTTAAAGGAGTGTAACACAACTCTGAACATGTGTTTCTGTCTATCAAATATATCCCCTGACACGAGCACAAACACACACATGCGTTGTCCCCTAGAGATCTTTCAGTACTGATCTCCTCTGCCTTTTGTGAAACAGACTCGACACTCTGAACTCTTGGATAGGGTCTTTTTTTTTAATTCTCGTTTTTATCACCTAGAAGTTGTGACACCAGCCATTAGTGCAGTGCAGCCCACTCTTCTTCTCCTTTTCTTTTTCATGCCCCTGGATCTTTTTCCTCTTCTGTTTGGATCCTAAACTTTCTCAGTCTGGTTCTTTCTTGATTCAGAGAGCTCTTCTTCCCCTCTCTTTTTCCCTGGTCTCCCATCCCTTTTAGCTGTTCCTTTTTTCTGGCTATGCACCATGCTGTCCTCCCCTACTGTAATCCTTCAGCCTTACGGACTCCCTGTCTACCCCCAGACAGCCTCCTGCTACCCCAGCATTGTACAGGTAAACATGTCCCTTTATTCTCTATATCTTCCTCTTTCACATTCTCTTTGTAGTTTGGTAGCTTGTTTGTTTAATTTTTAACAGCTTTTTCCTTGTGCAGTTTCTGTCACATATCTGGTAATATGTTGCATAAATCAACCAATCACTAGCCAGCAAAAGGCTTGTGTATGTGCTAAACGGTCATCCACCAATGGGTCTGCAATGAGGACATTAAATGTGTTTCTCTCTGCCAGTGAAGGACGCTGTGTCCTTTTGTTAGTTATATTTGTCCCTGCGAGGTGGCCTACTGAAAACAGGTTGAGTGTGTGTTTGTGTGCCGCTGTGTGATTGTATGTTTGTGTGTGTCTGAGAGAGAGAAATTCCAGGACAGCTGATAAACGGTGTGCCTGCTCTTTCTCTCTGTCACACTCGTATTTTTAGTCTGTTCCTCTCACTGCAAATTCCCTCTCACACACAGATTACAGATATAGAAATATATGTAGAGTTTCAGGTTGCCTCTTGACTTT